ACAAAGACACTATTTAATTCATACTGGACAGAGGCCATTTGGCTGTAATGTTTGTGGGAAATCTTTTAGACAGTCAGCTCACTTAAAAAGACACAAATTAACTCATATTGATAAGATACCTTATAGAAGATCTCTTTGCCAAGAATTTGAAAATTTGAACCAACTTCTCATTCATCCAGGTGATAATGTTAACTATAATGCTTCCCAACAATGTCAGACTCTTGGTTTCCAAAAATATGAGGTCTCAGAGTCAGATCAAATATCAGATATAAAAGTTAAGGCAGAATCAGAGGATTTCATTCTCAGTACCCCCTATAGGAACAGGCAGCCTTATCTCTCTAGTGCACTTCTGCAATCAGAGCAGAGCCAACACAGTCATTGTTGTGGTTATTCAGGGCGTGCAGAGAGGAATGATGGCCTTCTTTACCAATGCAGCGTTTGTTCCAAAAGTTTTAGATCTCCATCTAAACTGGAAAGACACTATCTAATTCATGCAGGGCAGAAGCCATTTGAATGCTCAGTTTGTGGCAAAACATTCAGGCAGGCTCCTCACTGGAAGAGACATCAACTTACTCACTTTAAGGAATGACCAACCACAAGATAAAGTGGTTCTCAAATTCAATTATGTAACTGACAGAACCAGTAACACATTTGTGGTCTCTCTGGTGATCTTGTTCTTAAAGCCTGTATCATTTAAAATGTATTTTCATTAAAAGGCCTTCCTTAGGTTGAGTGATTTCATAGGCAGTTGCTTGTCCTACAAGTAAGAGCCAAGATACATAGAAAATTAATACAATGTTTTAGGAACAGCCAAATTAATTTTTAGGGGGAAGAACATGGTTTGATGCCATACAGTAAGCATTTATTTTATTTTAATACATATTTTGGCTGTATTGAAAATGTAAATCCATGATGCGGTACAATAACTCAGTTCATTATTTTTTAAAGGAATTCTTAATGTATGCCATCTTCTTTTAGATACACTCAAAAGACAGAGGTAAAAATTGGGTTTTGGCTGCAGCAAATAGCCCCACTACATTTTATTTATTTTGTTTCACATGAAAGCATAATTTTGCCCACCTGTGGCTCAAATTCCATTGCAAAATTTTTTCTTGTAAGTTTAAAAACTGAAGGCAGTAAAAGTGAAAATGGATAAGAAAATCACAGCATTATTTTCATTGGTATTTTGCAAGCTATTTATTCTTAGGACTCTGGTAGCTTCACCTCCTTTTCCACAGGGGATTAGAGTTGGTTTTTTACCCAGCCTGTTGTTGTCTTTCCCAAAAGATCTGAAAGTAGGAGAGAGACTAGGATGCACCTGTATACATTTATCATGTTTACTTATCAGGAATATCGTCCAAGTGCCATAATCTTTTTGATGATATGTATGCAGTATTATCTTTTCAGAGGAATAAATGAAATTCATCTATTTACTACATGATTGACAACAGTAGTTGTATAGACTTAAGACTCACCTATAGATCTGCATCTCCACAAGACTTCTATTTTACTTCAGTAAAACTTTGTTTTAATGCCTCTTGAATTGAGTGGTCCTGTGACTTAACTAAATCTTATCTGTTAAGTTTGATCAAATAGCAATGACTAGGTCTAGTTCTAGTTTTGAATTCTATGTTTCTTGCAAGACTCTAATGCTAAAGAATATTATTTTGATCCTTAGCAAATTGTTTTGATTAGTAAGGTAATTATTCCCATTTAGGAATAAAGTGTTTATGGAATTGAGGATATCATTCTTCTCAACAGCACTGTCATGATAGGGAAATATTGGGAATCTTAAGCTATAAAAGACATAATCACAAATTGTCCTTTGTATTTGCCATTTTTTAATAAAATCTTTAAGAATGACATTTCTTAGTAATAAAATAACCATTATCTTTTAAGAGAAGAACAGGTCGGTGTTTGTCTTAGCACACTTAAATATAGTGACAAGCCCTCTGTTGAGAGTGAATAATAAACATTCTTTGCATTGTAAGTTCTTTGTCGTACTCTAAGAAATTGTCTTTGTATAGGAGGACGGGGGAGGAGAGGTTGGTATCTTCTTTTTCAAGTGCATTTTGAGAAACTTGGGTTTAATATACAGAGATAAAACGTGACAGTACAGATAAAATGCCCAATGATGTATAAATGTGCAGGAGAATCATATGTTTTAAAGAATAATTTCTCTTAGGTTTCCTCCAGATAGGTTCCTCCAATGCAAGAAAGATGAGGGTTTATAGAATTTGCCTTACACAAAACTTCAAGAACATACCTATTACATAAAAGCAAGAAATAATTAGCTCATATTTTCCAAGAATATAGGATCAAGGATTTTTTGTTTGAAATTGTGTATTTGGGGATTTTCCAAAGCTATTTACGTAATTTTATTTGAAGCAAATGTCTCATTTAGTCCTTTCCCAACCCAAACAGGGAAAGTCCTAACAGTGTTGTGCTTGTATGATTATTAGACTTTATTTGCTTAAGTGATACTACTATACTTTTTTTTTTTTTTGGCCCATGCCTTTTTAATAAAAGCTGTTTCATATTGAAAGTGGGAATAATTGTAAAAATTTTGTCAAAGATGTACTGTAGTGCTATTTGAAGTACCTGTAACAAAATCCTTATTTACCTTTATCACTGCAAGCTTCTTGTGGAAACTTTATAGGAATGAAAATAAACTGTATACATCCATGATAAGAAAATTAAACATTAGATGTTACATGATGATTTGCTGCATGCTAGAACTGTTAGTATTGTTGAATCAATTACTTTGGTTTTCTGAAAAAATAATCTTTATAAATGTCTTTAAAGAGATTTATTAAAATTTTTTGTTTGGGTGATTCCAGGCTGTAGCATGATTACTTACTGAAGTAGTTTCATTGGCTGAGTTAGTGGATTTATTGTTTCTTGTTTTGTACTGCGGTAGGGACAACAATTTTAGGACAAAATGTGTGTGTGTTGAAGGAAAGTGGATGGTGGTTAAGAGTCTTGAAGAATTTAAATTTCAGAATATTTTAAAAATAAACTTTCAAATTACACAGTTTGGACTTTTTTTTTTTTTAAATAGAAGATAAAAATCATACTGGAACAAGGTACTGATGGCCAAACACTTTCCTGGGCCCATTCCAATCCACCTTCTACACTGAATTTCCTAACATGGATATTTAATCATCTCCTTTTTACTTACTTATTTTTTACTTTTCCTTTTTAGTACATTTCTTTGATAGTTTCTTATCACCTACAAAAGGATGTTAACTGCATTACATGTCACATGATCTACCTGCTTACCCATTTATCTTCCTCTTTGGCCTTTCTCCAGATTTGTGCTAAAGAAATACAGAATTAATTCCTCCCGTGCATATTCTTGCTATTCTTGTCTCCATCTTGTCTACCCACTATTATTTAAATTAGATACAGACTTTAACACTCTTAGTTCAAAGAAGAAATTTAGATGAGCCAGATTTTATTTGGTTTTCCACGATTATGGGAAAAAACTAAAGTGTTTAAAACTGGCTTGCAGAAAACATTTTTTTTTAATGATGAATTGATTTTTTACTTATTTTCTTAACGTAATCTCTATCCCAACGTGGGGCTTCAACTCACAACCCTGAGATCAAGAGTCAGTCACATGTTCTACTGACTGAGCCAGCCAGGCCCCCAAAACATTTCAATTTACATGTTAGATAACCCATTTTTGGGTTTTCTGTTTGTTGTTGTTTGTTTTTTAGTAATCTCTACACTGAACGTGGGGGCTTGAATTCATGGCTCTGAGACAAGAGTCCAGGCTCCACCTACTGAGCCAGCCACATGCCTCAAGGACTGTTTGATGATACAGAATATCTGCTTTTTAGAAGCAGGGAAAGAACATTTAATTCCTATCTTGAGCTTTCCATTGCTTTCTATTGGTTAGAAGGACTTAAATTTCAGGGCTAACTGCTAGAGTTCTATTAGCATTAAGAGAAAAAGAGAAGTGGCACAATGGTATTATTAAAGGAATATGGAACATGTAATATTTTGCATCTACACTGGCAAGTTTCTATTCATTCTTTCAGTTTGAACTTAAATACTACTTCCTCTGGAAGCCTTTCTGATTTACCCAAACAAGCCATTCCCTGTGCTGCTCCCACTGCTTTTTGTTCATAACTCTGTTGTCACTGTTGATCAGTGGTTTTCAAACTTTAGTTTGCATTGGAATCATATAGAGGGTTTGTTAGAAGCATAGATAGCTGTCACATCCTCAGAGTTTCTCTCATGTCTGGTGTTGGGTCCAAGAATTTGCATTTATGCTGGTTAGCTGTTAGGTCAAATTTGAAGTTCTGTTTGGAAAGAAGGGAGGATAGGCAAAAAAAAAAAAAAAAAATTCCACTGCACCTAGCGTAAAAAGAGAACAGTTAAGAGAAACAACTTGAGTTTTACCTGTTATTCTGGTTACTGTTGTATCTTTCTGTCTTTTATGCTGAAGATGCATTTTACACCTACTTTGTCCATTGCCTCTTCACTCACTAACCTATCAGACCCTTTTTACCTAGTAGCCCCTTTTTTCCCTAGCATGGCAATAGGAATGGATTGCAAAAGGCATGAGGAAACTTTTCGGGGCGTTGAATATGCTTATTATCCTGATTTTGGTGATGGTTTCACGGATGTATGACTGAAAACGGATCGAATTTTACACTCCAAATATGTGCATGCAGTTCATTGTATGTCAACCTATACCTCCATGAATCTGTTAAGAAACATTTAAAACCGAACCCCCCGTACCCAGCCTATGTTTTTTTCACTACTGCTTTTTTTAGGTTTGAGAGAACCGCCAAGTCTCCCCCACCTGAGCAATTGTACCTGGAGAACCCTCACCTACCTGCCGAGTCCTTGAGACCCGATCCGGAGTGCTGGGTGCGTTCTTTCAGCTTCCCGCCAGGGGACGCATGCGGAGGAGGCCGAAGCCCTTGCATTCTGTAGCTCAGACCCAACGCCTGCACGAACTTCCGGCACTGTTCCGTTCCGCTTCCGGGAAGATGTACGGGCTGCTGTACGCGCTCCTCTGAGACTGAAGGCTAAGGATATCCCGGCCCGCGGGCTCCTGCTTCGCGGAGTTGGGCAGCAAGAGCTGCCTGTTAGGGGAAGTGCATCACGTTCACCGCTGTTCCGAGGGGACCTTTCCTTTCCACTGGAGCGGAGTGAGAGTGCTGCCATGGCGGCCCCTGCTCAGCCCAAGAAAATCGTGGCTCCTACGGTGTCCCAGATCAACGCGGAGTTCGTAACCCAGGTGCGCTTGGCCGAGGCTGGTGTGTGTGAAAGGAGGAGACGTCAAGGCCCCCGAGGCCTGGGGGGTGGGATTTTCTTTGGGACGGGGTGCACCCAGGAGGCATTCGTTCGTCAATTCATTCACTCAAGTCTTTTAACTGAGTATCTGCTCTGTGTCGGCCACTGTGTTCGGTGCTGGGGATACCACAGTGAAAGAGGCCGCCTTGCCCTACGGAGTACAGGTTCCAGGGAAGATAAATAAAAAAGAAAGCTACTAAGCGAGCTTTTCCGTATTGGAGTCTGTCGCAGAAGTGATGGATTCACAGAAGCAGCAGCACCCCACCCTGAGACCGGCAAGGTTTCGTAGCCGAGATGATGTCTAATAGAGAGGGAGGAGTAGAGTTTTTCGTAGCCGTAGAGTAATGTACGCTTTTGAGTGGAGTGACGAGAGTCTGACAAGACACCTGCGTCAAGTAGATGCATCTATGAAGAGAGCAATCGTGTTATCGGAGAGCGTTCATTTAGAACCCGTTTGCTGTGTTGCATTGTGAACCGCGGTTGGCTGTGAATAGGGAAACACAGTCCTGTAGCCCTCAGCAACATTCCTAATCCTTATGCGCTGCTTTGGGTATTGGTTGAGAGTGCAAATAGCTCCCTGCCGAAGTTACTATGCCATCTGCTTCTTTCTTCTCTGGTCTCTGTCTCAGATTTGCCAAGGCAGAAGCCTCAGAGTCATTTTGAGCCCCGCTTTCCCTTAATCACTACATGTTTACATTATAAATACCTTCCAAATCTATCTGCTTCTCTTACACTACGCCAGGTTGCCCTTGTTTACTCTCTGGACCTAGGCATCCTAACCTGTCTTGTGGATCCTCTTGCTCTCCTCCAGCCCATTCTTCATATTGCTGCCAGTGATTTTATACAAATGCAAATCTGATCATATCACTTACCTACTTAAAATCTCTAAAGAGTTCTAATTTCTCTTAGGATAATCACCAGGATCCTTCAAAGTATTATGTAATCTGGCATGTGCTTATATCCAGTTTTCTCTCTTTCCAACTCTGCTTTAGCCATATTGACCTGCATTTACTTAAATTTGTCATGCTGTGTTTCACCTCCTGGTCTTTCAACATTGTTCCTTCTGCTCAGAATCCTCATTTTTTTCCCACTTTCCTTTATACGGTTAATTCATTGTCATCCATCTACATTACTTGGGAGAAGTTTTCCCGACAACTTAAACTAAATTAGATCTCCCTTTTCCCATATACCTGTTTTTATGGTTAAAGCCATTTATTAGTTTCCTTCACTCAAGGAGCTTAGATTTTAGAGATGAGTCAGACAAATTAACAGTACAGTTTCAAATAGGGATAAGTGCTATCAGGAAAATGAAACAGGGTGTTAATGACACTGACTAGGATGGGGTGTATGAAAGGCAGTCAGGAAAGTTCTCTCTGAGGTGACATTTGAGCTAAGACCTGAATGCAAAAAAAAGAGCCAGTTTTGGGGAGAGCAGGGAAACAATCCAGGGAATAGCAAGTGCAGATGCTTTATGGTGTGAATATAAAGAAGGCCAGGATAGAAGCATAAGAGGGAAAATGGTATGAGATGAGGACAGAGAGTATGTAGGGATCAGATCTTATACAGTTTTGGAGGCTGAGATAAGAAGTTTGGATTTCATTCATCCAGTAGATTTTAATTGCAATCCAGGGAATGATATTTTAGAAAGAATCTTCTGGCTAATGTGTGGAAACTGGATGGGAGTGAAAGAGCAAAAGTAGTAATAAGGTTACCAGTGACTCCAGGTAAGAGATGGTGGTGGCCTCTACTATTAAAGATTAGGGTAGACTGATATATTCTGAGGCTAGAGGCAGCAGGACTTGATGATGATTGATTGTGGAAGGATGGAGGAAAAGACAAATCGGGCATAGCTTGAACAACTAGGTGAATGGTTTGGACATTTACTGAGATAGGGAAGGAGAGGGTTTAGTGGGGAGTATCAAGAGTTCTGTTTGGGTCTTGTTAAATGGAAGATGCCTAGTAAACATTCAATTGAATATATTGAGAAGGTAGTTGAATATGTGAGTCTAGAGTACCTGAGCAAGATCTGGGCTTGAATATAAATTTGGTATTTGCTGACAAGGTGGTATTTAAAACTGTAGGATTGACTGATATGTCCCAGGGAATATTATTTGTAAACATATAACATTTATTGTATCCTGTATTAGATTGAGAGAGCTGAGGCTAGGGACCATGTCTGATTTATTCCCCATGTACTCCCAGTACCTAGCATTGTACTAGGCACACATTGTGTGATGAGTAAGTATCTTTTAAAAGAAAGAATGAGTGAATTAATGGATAAACATACCAGGGCATTAAAATGTAGTGGTAGGGATGAACATTCTCAGCAGTAAACCATGATAGCAGACATGAATGCCTAATATTTGCTAGATACTGTTTTGGGCTCTTCTGGGCTACAAAGATAAATAAAATGTGATCCTTGTGTTTAGGGAGTTCAGTATCTGGAAGGAGACTTTGAGACTCATCATAGTTCAGTTGATAAATGCCAGAATAGAGATGTGAGGGAAATGCTTTGAGAACACAGTTTTAAATGAAAACTTTTGTCTAAGAAAAGACTGTCAAGAAAGAATTTCCTCATTGAGAAAGTGCCATTTTAGATGGACTTTGAAACATAAATAGGAACATGAGGAAATGGGTTTTCTAGTTGGAGGGGATATCTTGGATTTAGGTGGTGGGTGGTTCTTTTTCTTCTTCTCCTCCCCTTCATCCTTCCTTCCTCTTCCTTCTTCATTTCTGAGTACCTGACCAGAGAAGGTGTTTTTAAATTATTATTAAATGAGTAAGATGCAGAGCTTAAAATTTAGTTTTAAGGAGATCAGAGATCTGAACTTTGTGAATTCAGTTTTTTATGCTACTGTATTTTATGTCCTTTTTGTCTCAATAAAATTTATTTTGAACAGTCTATGCTGTCATAGCTATACTAAGTGGGAAATGCAAAATTTCAATTTTGCATGAGGCTGGAGAGTGTAGGGGAGGGCAGTATATTCCTGGAGGTAGTAGTGTCTGAGAGGTCACAGGTTAGACCCCAAGGAAAAGCTAGATCAGATATTTACAATAAGCAGTTTGGATCAGAAGATAGGATTTACATATTTGTTTGGAAGACCCTAAATCCATGAAAACAGATCAGATTCAGTTCTCTTAACGGTATGAGGTGAGTAAAAGATGGCTAGTTTGTGTGATGCCTATAGGCAGTGGAATGAGGAAATGAGAATACCATAGGATAATTTGGGGGTAAAGTATTTTCTTTTGGGTTGGAGGGTGATTGATAGTTTGGGAAGGTGTCACATAAGGGGCCATTACTATACTGATTTGGAGAGACTTCCTCAGGGCCCATGTCCTTACTGCTTGGGAGGCCCTTTGGGTGTACTTACTGGGATAGGTACTTAGCTATAGAAGAAAAGAAGATATGAGTCCCATCTCTTTAGTGTTCTACTTAGGCAGACAGGAAAGATAGATAAGCAATCAAATGATTAATACAGAAAGATGAGACTATAATAGAGTTCTTTATGAAATGAAGAGAAGGAAGAAACAATTATCACCATTAGGTAGGGTGGAGGAAAGCCTCACAGAAGAGGTAACATTTCAGATTTTACTTTATTTTTTCATTCATCCATGCACCCATGCATACATACATATATACATCAGTCCATTGGCTATTATTTGAATTCCTCCAGTACACTAGATACTGTGCAGTACACTTTTTTATAAATGTGTTTAGTCTGTGCTTACCAGAGTTTTCTGTTTTTCAAGAGATTGCAGTTTAGTTTCTTTTAAAAAAAACAAAATACTTATTAATAAGACCATGTTTTTCCTTGATATTATATAATAATATTATACAACGCATCTAAATATCTGGAATTACTATATATATGTGTTTAAAGTTCACAATTTCCAGGTAAGTCTAATCTGCTGAAATATACCAGCTCTTTTATTCTCTGTAATAACCTGCTTATAGATTAGAAACTTTTTAGGTTTTGTTATGTGTGTCTGTGCCTACTAATCATTTAAAGGTTACTGTTTTACAAATAAACATTCCTGAAGATTTTGAATCTGTTTTCTAATACTAGCTCAACTCTTAACTAATTCTAATCTTGGGCAGCTCACTTAATCTCTAGATTCTAGAGTGTTCTTTCTAGGAGGTTCCTGGGTTTCCTCATCTCTATGCTGAAGATGTTTGACTGTGGTTATTAACTGGGTCCTACTGTTTCTCTTGGGGTGGTTAGAAAAGTATGTTTTGTTTTTGTAAATCATAATGGCAGGGTGCAATGCAGGGCATTACTGGCTTTTAGTGGGTTGGGGCCAAGGATGCTAACTGGCCTGCATGCCCATATAGTCCTCTTAGAAGATGGAATTAATCTGTCCTCCCAGTGCCTCTAATGCCCTGTTAAGAAAGAGCTTGTTACTGTATGATCTCAGTCTTCTCGCTCGACAATGGTATGAACCTGTGACTTATTTATACTCTTTACTTTTGCAGTTAGCATGTAAATACTGGGCTCCTCATAGCAAGAAAAAATCACCTTTTGATATAAAGGTAAGTATATTTGGTTTACACCATTCTTTTTGAATAGGTGTGTTCTTTTTATCTTATTTTTAAGGGCTAATTCAACAAAAGCATTACATGATTCTTTTTAAGTTCAAATTACAGTTTTCTAATTATCAGATTGACAATTATTCATGTCAGAAAATTTGGAAAATAACAGAAGTTACACATTAGAAAATAAAAATCACTACCCAGAGATAACCTCTGCTATCATTTTGTTGTGTTAAAGTTTTTAAAAATTGTGTATATAACTTAACTGTTTTCCTGTTACAAATTCTTGGTTTGTTTTAAATTTATCATTATTATAATGACCATGTAATGAAAATTTTTGTAAATATACAGAAATTTCTGTATAATTTTTTGACAGTTCATTTAGGGTAGAATCTATTGTTTTTTATTTTTAGGTTGATGAGCTGAGATAAAGATTTATAAGAATGGTGGAAGAAGTAGGAGTTGTTTAGGGTAGAGGATTAGATGACCAAAGACCAGTAATATTTCAGTTAGGGAATGGACTTACGGTTCAGGTGGAGCAGTTTAGGATAAATGAAAACAAAAATTCCTGAATGTGGGATTAATTCTCATTGAAATAGGCTCTTAAAGAGAGATCTTTAAATAAAATAGAGATGACATATTGCATGCCATTTAACAAGTATAGTTGACCCTTGAACAACACAAGTTTGAACTGCATGGGTCCATTTATACATGGATTTTTTTTTTCTAAGTACAGTACTGTAAATGTATTTTCTCTTCCTTATGGTTAAAGTGTGTCTTCATTAGCTGACCGTTGAACAACACGGGTTGGGTTTCTGATCCCCCATGCAGTCAAAAACCCATGTATAACTTTTTAAAAAAAAAAGATTTCATTTATTTATTTGAGAGAGAGAGAGAGAGCGAGCAAGCATGCGCATGCGCAAGCAGGGGGAGTAGAAGACTGTTTTAGGCACACTTGGTAAAACTGAACTTAACCCAAAATTTCTTTTATCATTTGAGTTTAAATGTTTCATTTATGAATATATTTTTGTTTTGCCAGCAATCCTTTTATTCATCAGGAGGATATTCATAAAAATGGCATATATTAATTACTCTAATTACTAGTAGAGTTGCTTTATCTTCTTATATGCTATTTGTATGTGTTTGTGGTTGTATATGTTAGATCTGGGGGTTCCTAGGGTCATATTTCATTAATAACAAGAGTATCTTAATGACACTACTGGATCGAGTTGATTCTAATTAGATTGAGATTTTCAGAGATTATATCCAGATCATTGTAATTCAGGATGAAGCTATGTATGCCTGTTTAGAAGAACTTTATTGTAGGTTGGTATTTGAAGATTATGCCCTTCATTTTAGTATTTAATTTGAATTTTGATAAAAAGAAAGGCAATAACAGAAATTTTGTCTAAATTGAACAAGACTTGGGGTGCCTGGGTGGCTCACTCAGTTAAGCGTCTGATCTCAGCTCAGGTCATGATCTCAGGGTCCTGGGATTGAGCCCTTTGGGCTCCGTGCTCAGTGGGGAGTCTGCTTGCTCCCTGCTTGTACTCTCTCTCTCTCAAATAAATAAATAAAATCTTTAAAAATAAAATAATCACCCACATTTCCTTGACAAATATACTTTGAGCAGTTAAAAGACATTATAACTCCATAAAATATATGATACCATATTAAAGTACTTTATAATTTTATAGTAGGAACTTTTTTTTTTAACTGCTATTATCACTAGCCACTAGCACTGCTGTGTCTTCTGCTGGTAACTGTTATTAAAGACTCACAGGGGCAGTTGGCTGGCTCAGTTGGTAAAGCATGCAACTCTTTATCTTGGGGTTGTAAATTTGAGCCCTATGGTGGGTATAGGGATTATTTAAAAATAAAATCTTAAAAAAAAAAAAAGAAAATACGATATGCCAGGACTTGCACTAAATTCTTTACATGTGGTATCTTATTTATAGCAACTGGTGGGATACTTTGTATTAGTAGATCCTTTTTGTGGATTGGGAAGGTGAGCCTCAGAGCTGTCCTAGGCAAGGGTTCTAGCTCTCTGCAATGAAGTGGGTGGTTTGAACCAGGCTTCTAACACCAGTGCTGAATTCTGAAGTATCACACCATTCTGGCCTCCCTAACCCAAAAGAATTGAAATTCTGAGGCTTTATCACATGTATTTGGAAAACAGGATGTAATTTGCTTCTGTTATATCCTCATACTTCTAATTTACTGTCTGGCTTTTGAAAGTACATTCTTAATGATTCTTAAATGGAGTCTGATAGCATATACCTTAAAATTAAGTTTTTACAGCGGGGAGTCTGCTTCTCCCTCTGACCCTACCCCCTCTCATGCTCTCTCTATCTCATTCTCTCTCTCAAATAAATAAAATAAAATCTTTAAAAAAAAAAAATTAAGTTTTTAAAAATATTCTGATTTGTGAATTTTTATTTTTCCCAGAAGTATTATAAATACATCATTTTAGAAGTCCAGTGCACTATCCATTGCATGACAGAGCCACCTTGAATACATCATTTTAGTGATTGTTTCTAGGAATCTTTTTATGTAGATATATTTTATTATTTATCTTCTACTACTTTGCTTTCTGTTATTTTACATTTTGAGGAATGTGATGAGATTATAAAAATCTCTTAAGTATTATTTCAGTAATATTTTATATCTATCCTAAACCAGCTTATTTTGTGTAATCTCAGTAACTGGAAACTATCAACTTAGGATCTAAAAAAATGCTGTTTGAGATAGTAAACATTTTTATATTTTTGGTAACAGGTCATTGAAGATATATATGAAAAAGAGATTGTCAAATCAAGGTAAGAATGAGTTTAATTTTCATACATAGGGATTAGGTGGGACCAAGTTGGATCTCTTTTGCACTTCTAAACTAAATGTGATCATAACTTGGAACTTTTAAATTTCTTTTTGATTTGGTCATCAGGGAGATGGTGGCCAGAAAAACTTTTATATCTAGCTGCTGAAGAACCATAAATTATTTTTTTGCTTTCTAATTTTTGGCTTAGTTTAGAGGGATTAAATCCCATCAGGTTTATTTTGTTTTTGAAGAAATGTGAGGGAGAATAAACATGGAGATTTAATTTCAGTTTCACTAATACTAATTTTCTTATCATTTTCTGATAAATCTTTTGAAAATATTTAAAAATTATAAAAGTAGGGCACCTGGGTGGCTCAGTTGTTAAGCGTCTGCCTTTGGCTCAGATCATGGTCCCAGGGTCCTGGGATCGAGCCCCATATCAGGCTCCCTGCTCAGCAGGGAGTCTGCTTCTCCCTCTCCCACTCCCCCTGCTTATGTTCCCTCTCTCGCTGTGTCTCTCTCTGTCAAATAAATAAATAAAATCTTTAAAATATATATATATATAAAAGTAAAACATACATAATAATACTTTATAAAATAATAAAGTATATCTTACATACAATGTATAGAATATAAAATAATAAAAATAAATAATAGAAATTGTTTTTATACAATATACAGAAGGAGGTAAGTTTTGAGAAATCTTCCTTGTCCTTTAACCCTCAATTTACTTATGTACATATGTATCCAGCCTCCCCCATTTTTTTTAATACAGAGAGTTTATACTCTACACATCATTCCATCTTACCTTTTTTTTTTAATGTATTTTGGGCATATTTCTATATCTGCAACTATAGACATATATGCCCAGTGAGTATTTTAAAAAGCCAATTGACTAAATATTTTAATATGAAATGGAAACATTAGATGATAAATGTAAAAAAACTTATAAAATCTCAGATTTGTTATTTGTCATGTGTTTGAGTCCTAAAAGGTTAATTTTACTAAATATTATGAAGGCAAATCCATGGCAGCATCAAAATGAGAGGCTAGTTGTTTTGCTTTAGTGATTGATTTGTGAGCATAAAAGGAGGCAGGACCAAAAGCCATGTTAAGGATTTTGTTTCTTATCTGAAGAATAATGGGAAGCCAATTAAGCACGTAAGCATGATGGTGATATTTTAAAAAGAGAATTTGGAGGGTGTAAGAAGCAAGAAGTTAGGTGAGTATTGTAGTAGTTAGGTTCAAGATAATGATGGCTTGAACTAGCCTGGAAGATTGAGATAAAGAGGTGTGCCAATTTGAGATAGAAGTGACAAGATGGTTGGTGGTTGGATGTGGTGGATGAGGGAAAGGGGAAAATCAAAAGTGACTTCTCTAAGTTTTTGGCTTAGATTGATTAGTGGATTCTATTACTGATTTCTGCTTTTGTTGTTAGGGGTGGAGTTGGGCATAGGTCATTAGTTCACTTTTGGAAATGTTTAATTCTAGGTAGTGAAGAACCATGTAGATGGAGATGTAGAATAAGCAGTTGGGTATCTCAATACAGAGCTCAGAAAAGAGGACAGAGTTGAGCCTACTTTGTATCAACCACAATTTCAGTGCTAAGGATACAACAGTGAGCATGGCAGATAAAGTCTCTACTCACTGAGCTTATATTGTAGTTCTAGTCTAGACAGGAAATACATAGATAGATATGTAATGTCACAGGTACTATTATGAATTAAAGTATGTTTAGGGTAGTGACAAGGGCCATTTTAGATTGATCAGGGAAAAATACTCTGAAGATATGACATTCGAGCAGATATATAATATATGACTTGTTGGTCTGGGAATGGGTATGGATGAGATTGCCTAATAAAACTTAAGATGAGTGGGTAGGTAAATTCTAGGATTCTTTTTTCTTACATATTAAGGATGTACCAATCTGAAAATTATCTTGAACCTTCACAACTAGTTTTCTGTGTCTTCAGAGCAGGCTTTTACTCCAGTGGAAAGTAATTGCTTGTGGTTTTGTTTGTTTGTTTCATTCAAAACCTTAGCTATTAATATTTCTTCCTTAAAGATAATTTTTATGTAACTAGTAACCAAAAGCTGCCAGTGATTTTTAAATTATATACTTGGCTACATTATTTTTAATTGCTGAAGGAAGTAACTGTTGTTGGCCAGGCTCACTAGGATTTATCATGGCACTCTTATCAGTCATTTTCTCATCTTGTACACAGTTGAGAATACTTAAATGAAAGTAAACTGATACATTCTCCCCTCAAATCTCAAAGTTCAAAAAAGTTAAGTGCACTTCTGTAATAGATAAACTGTAATGTATATATACGTTTTCATCATAAGTGTACTCTTGAATTCCCATCCCCTAAGGGCGCCTGGGTGGCTCAGTTGGTTGGGCGACTGCCTTCGGCTCAGGTCATGATCCTGGAGTCCCGGGATCGAGTCCCGCATCGGGCTCCCTGCTC